TCCCCCCCCCCCCCCCCCTAAAGACCAAAATTCCTAAACTACCCCTACAAGAACCATGATAAACCAGATAAATTACAAAAAAATCCAACAAAATTTAAGAATTGCCATAAAACAATTCAACAAGCATTACATTTGTTCAATAATTAGGGTATTACGTATTAGGAGGGGTGGGGGGACTATAATGGTGCTGGTGGTGAAGAAAAACCAGTCGTGAGGAGAATGGTGGTTGAGGTGTGGAGAGAGAGAGTGTGCTTGTTTCTAATGTGTTCGGCTAGTGCATGCAGTGGTGCTAGTGATACAGGAAAAACACTTCGAGATTAGGAGATGGTGGAGGTGGTGTGGAGAGAGAAACGACATGCTTCTTGTGGTGGGTTGCAGACAAAGATCAAAATTTTCGTTTATGTATATTGTTTCTGTCACTTAAAAAATGAAAACGTTGCGACATGTTTTGAAAATATTTTAATCTGTTTTGGAAATATAACCAAAAAAAATAAAAAATAAAGAATTATTTTTTCAAAATATTGGTCGAAATATATCAAAATATCTTGAAACACTCTGAAACAATTGTACAAATGCATTGAAACTTTACAAAATACCTCGAAATATTGTGAAACATCTCGAAATATTAGAATTTCGATTCCATCACTAATTTATTTCGGACATTTAAAAACAAAAATTTTTATCCTTGGTTGTGGAGGTGTTCATGGTGCAGATAAACAGTGTGTGTGGAGTAAATATTGACGTGATATCACCGATCAATAATAAATACACCAAGTGAGTAAGATGAACCCTACTTGAATAATTTTTTGTTTACATAGAGGAAGATTGTGTAGTTATTTACTTACATGGAGGGTTAATTATTAATTTTAGTGAGACTCATTTATTTATTTATTTTAATATTATTGATTAATAATACCACGTTAATATTAATACGTAATATCACAATTATAATAAATACTTTCTCGTGTGGGAGCCGATGGATGGGGGCGGTTTGTGGAGAGATAAAGTGTTGGAGTTTTGTTTTTGGGGTTGGATTAAGGTTTGGGTATGGGGGTGGTATGATATTTGAGTTTGGGTTGGATTGATTTTATTTTTTATTTTTCATTAGAGGCTAAAATGATTATTTTATTATTTTTCATAAGTCGGTTGTCGTTCAATAGGGCACGTCAGTGTAATTATTCATACTTGAAGGGCCTAATTGATTAAATGACAAATTTTACATAGATTACATATATTATTTTTATTTGTTGGGTCTAATTATTATAATCATTGATTTAATCTATATGGCACCACGGCGAAAAGGTATCAACTGATGTGGTAACTCAATTAACTTAGTGTAGATTCAAAATTGACTTGGAGACGATTCAGAGAATTTATCGAATCATATAATACTCAAAATTTATATATAATGTGAAATAATATCATTTTAGAAGGTGATAAATCAAATATGACTAAGTCGAGTCGTGTGAGACTCGAGATTTACAAATAATATAAAACGATATTGTCTTAAAAGGTGCGGAGTCAAATACAACTTAAATTAGTTATATCGGTATCTATCAACCATTTCAACCTTTGTTCTGAAAAGCAATCTGAAAAGCAAGAGCACGAAACCTAACAAATTCTCTCTGTGTCCTTGCAATTTACATCTGATTTCATGGCTTCCTTTCAAAGTTCACGTATTAAACAAGTGCAAATAAAAAAAAATAGTTATTACATGGTATAAATAGGTAATTATTTAATTATGTGGAATCTACATACTATTTATTATCCCATTATTGAATAATTATACCCAATTTCTATGGTTTTGTTTGGTGGTAGGAGGAGAGCAATGAGAGGGAATATCATACACTTATAATTACTAAAATGCCCTTCATACATAAAATTAATATTTTATACTATGATTCATTTGCATTCAATTTTTTGTAGTTTTAAATTCCCACTGCATGTTAAGTGGTGAAAATGACATAAAGAATGATGCAACTTCGAACAAAATAAAAAGCATAGAGAATTTTAAATAAAATGAAAGAAGAATGGCAAAAACAGTGGACCAAAATAGGGGTATAAAAGTAAATTTATGCAACACCTCTCTTTGTTCCCCTACTTTTCATCCCATTTTTCGATCAAATTTGGACGGATTAAAAATGCTTGACAGAGTGGATATTTTTTCCACCTAACCAATATGAAATTTTGAATGGATTTGTGCTCCTCCGTCAAACTCTGTGAAGGTCATCAAAACTTATCCGCAATATACCTACAAGCAATGATTGTATATGATTGATCAAACCTTTGCAAGGTGCAAATTATTGGGTATAATGTACAGCGGTTAACGAGAGCCATGACAAAAAACCAAACAGACGAAATTTGTTTTTTACCTTTTAACATGGAAGAGTGTTTAAATTAGTTTATACGTATATCGTTTGAATAATTTTTTTTTAAATTTTATTAAAGATAAATTATCCACGTTAAAATTATGGTATTTATAAGAGATTAATTATTCACCCTTATTTTAGATTAGAATATTTATAAGAAATAAATTATTCACCCTCATTTTAAATCCTCTATTTTCTTTCCTCCCATTTTTCTTTTCGTACCAAACATACCATAAATAGGAATATCAGTAGACTGAAGCGGGGGCGGAGATGTAGTTTTTCCCGTACCCACTTAAAAAAATTTCATTCATTCTCGGTCCACCCCCTTTAACGGGTATAATTTTCATCCCTATGTCCATTTGCGGATAAATTTTTAATTCCCGTCTCCGTCTCCACTTCCTCGGTACCCGCCCCAAGCCCAATGCATAAGGAAATTCTTTGTCAGTTTATCAATCGCATAACAAGTAATCTTAATCAAGTCAATAACTAAAGAACTTTATCCGTCTAGTTATTCTGTATCAATTATCATCATTATTATGGCAAGATATTTAATAAACTACAAAGTAATCTCGCTTTTATTTTTTTACGGGTTTATATGAGTATTTTTGTATATGTCCATCGTTCAATATGTATAATTTATTTTCGATCCAAACAGAACGGATTTAAACAAATACTTATTTTTTTCCGATTTACTGTCGTCCCTAACCATAAAATAACCTGCGGACAAAAGTTAATTTTCAAAATATTAAAAAATAACCCCACAATAAATTCAACATTATTATGTGCCACATAAGGGTTAAACTGGAAAGGGAAAAAGGTTAAATTTGAAAATCCAATTACAAATGTTTCAAACGGACAATTTCTTTTCTATAAATTGCAGACAGTGCAACATGTACCCTTGCGTCATCCTCTGTCAGAAGTTCATTGAGAAACTAAAAAGCTACAACCAGACAGACAAACAATCACATCCTCTCGTCCAATTCTACGTTCACCCACACTCTCTCTCTCTCTCTCTCAGTTCTATGACTTCTTTCTAGGTGCTAAATGTTGAAACTTGAAAGCATTCTTCATCATCTTACCTCTCTCTCTCTCCCTCTCTCAGTTTTTCTCGTGTATGTCTGACTCTTAAAAACTCTACCAGGTAATCAAGTTTGAGGGCATTCTTCATCATCTTCCCTCTCATGAATTTAATATGCTCCATCTCTGTATTTTGTCAGTGACCACAAATTTCCTGAGATGACATTTGTTTCTTCCATTTGATTCAACCTTCTAGTGTAGTGTAACTTTAACAATCCCCCCTCTCTCTCTATACATATGTGTGTGTGTGGGTGCATATCTTTTTGAGTTTTATGACCTTTTGATTTGCTTGGTTGAGCTTCACCATTGGCTATTCTCAGCTTTCTCTCACTGTTCATTTCGGAATAAAAGTGCATGTACTCTCTTTTCTTGAAGTTTTTTCAAATATTTCATACTATTGAGTTCTTCATCTGTTTGTTGTGTTTTTGGGCTATTGCATTTGAGGTGTTTGATTCATTGGTTATATTAATGGTTTCAGATTTCAAGCTAAAGATCGGTACGGCTGATCAAATGGCGAGATTTTCAATACCCATCATGAGGTTTGTGTTCTTGTGCTTCTGGGCTGCTTCTACAGAAGCAGTGTACATGAAATACAAAGACCCAAAACAGCCATTGGGTGTTCGGATAAAAGACTTGATCTGGAGAATGACTCTTGAAGAAAAGATTGGCCAGATGATGCAGATTGAGCGCGGCTTTGCATCAGCTGATGTGATCAGGAAATACTACATTGGTATACAAACATCTTGAGAGTGATCCCAATTTGTTTTGTGCGTGTCTTGATGGTCTATACTTTATCCTTATGTTAGTACAAATGTATGAAGGCGTGCCTTTGCGCAGCATTGCTCCATTTTGATATAAGCCTCAGGGGTTGGAGTGTTGAGTTTCTATATCCGGTAGAGATAGAAGCCTCGTGTACTAAGTTGTTTTTTAGTCTCTCCCCTAGTGAGGTTAGGCTTACCCCCATAGTGTGGGGAGTCTCGCATATTGGCCGCCATCTTTTGGTTGAACAAATTCACACTGGATTGAAAAGCCCCTTTTATTTGTTAGGAAAATTGTTGAGTAATTCCAGTGATACTGAAAAATATCTGCTGTGTTCTATGAATAGGATAGTCTATATGGAAAAACTGATTTTAGAACAGTTGCTTGTGATGGTTTGGTTTGTTATAAAGAACAATTGATTTGGGCAGGGAGTGTATTGAGTGGTGGAGGGAGTGTACCAGCTCCAAAGGCCTCTGCTGAGGCTTGGGTTGATATGGTGAATGAGTTTCAGAGGGGTGCTCTGTCGACCCGTCTTGGTATTCCTATGATTTATGGGATTGACGCCGTTCATGGCCACAACAATGTATACAAGGCAACAATTTTCCCTCACAATGTTGGGCTTGGAGTTACCAGGCAAGTATATGTACTAACTTGGCTTAAATAAAGCGTGTATTTTACATAATATAATTGAATGACAATGTAGGAATATTAATGTAGCAAACTATTGGATACTGTGTTTTTTGCCCTTTTGCTTTTTGGGAGAAATGGATTTCAGAAGTGTCTGAAAGATCACATTGCAAAGGTATATCACAAATTGAGGCATTTATAACTCACCAATTTGAAGTGTAATCTATTTTAAATTGTTACTAGAATGACTATAAAATTTGTGGGATTTCAGCATTTAATATCTTTTGTTGAGCCACATTCTAAATAAAAAAGTGAAATACTAATATGCCTTCTGAATTTTGATCATCTGCAACTTTAAATTATTGGAACTTTGGAATTTTAACGATCGTGAATAGATTCCAATATAAAGGTTTAAATTAGGCATTCAAACTTCGATATAATCCTGTTATTGACCAAAAAGAAAAAAATATAATCCTGTTCAGATTGAAGCACATAAAAGCCAACATTTGAATCGTTCTTCCTCTCCCTCATCCCTTTTGGTTTTGAAATTTTTAAAATTTGGAGTTCAGTGTCCAGTCTCTAAAACTTTTTAACTTAGAGGCTATTTATCACAGCAAAAAAATTGAGGACAAGAACATGTTATTAATAAGATCTAGGTATTTCAATCAAAGCCTTCCCTTGGATAGCCTGCTTCTAGTTTTCATTCTGTTTTAATCAAAATTAATGTTGTATCTCCAGCTCATGTTTGTGGTCATGCTGATTTTCTGTCAGGGATCCTGTGCTTGTCAAGAAGATTGGGGTTGCAACTGCTCTTGAAGTCAGAGCAACAGGAATCCCTTATGCATTCGCTCCCTGCATTGCGGTAACTTAAAACAAATTTCATTTTTCTTTAAAGAGCCCGATTTTTTTGATGTCTTATCACTGTTATCACAGGTTTGCAGGGATCCGAGGTGGGGTCGTTGTTATGAAAGCTATAGTGAAGATCACAAGATTGTTCAAGCAATGACTGAGATCATACCTGGCTTACAAGGAGATATCCCTGCTAACTCTCGAAAGGGAATTCCATTTGTTTCCGGAATGTATGGATTTCTCTCATTTGACATCTTCGTTCTATTTCTCCACTAACTTAACTGTTAAATGGAGTCAGTATTAACTGAATAGTACGAGACACCACTTGTATTTCCGTATATGTTTATCTAAAGGGTTGACATGTGATGCATATCCTGCCAGCTTGAAATTGTCGTCTGTGTTCACTGAATTATAAAATCAGTTACTTTGTTTTATAATTTTTGATTTTCGTGTTTTGAGCTAGTCCATTTTTGACATAACATCATGCTTACTAATTTTGGGCCTATCTAGTCAGAAGCTTTTGTTTGTGTGGGCACTGCAAGTGATAACCATTCTCCTATGAAATTTAAGCTGATAAGTTAGTACGTAGATGCATGAACCATTTGATAGCAGAAGAGGCTTCAAATTTTCTGTTTTATTGCTGGTAAAATTGTGAGTCATCGGGATATACATTTTTTTTGGCGATATGTAAAGATAAGTGCTTTTAAACAGTTCCACCAGGTCTCAAGCACATGCTAATGTCTTGTCTTATATCCTAAACATCGGAAATAGAAACATAAAAGCTTTGCCTCTGTCCAATATTTTGAATTCATCATTTTTCCCTGCATTTTTTGGCTGCCTGGTGTTATTAAATATTCGAGTATCATTTCCTGATTGAAGATAGTCGTCTTTTAAATATCCTTCTGCTATTATTTGTTCTCTGACACACTATACATACCTCAATGCGGAGCAAAAACCCGTAAATTACAACTTGTAAGCAAGAGTTCTTGGTTTCACTTCTATTATTTTGCACTTAATGTCCCATCCAACATGAACTGTAGGTTTCCTGGACTAATTAATGGGAAAGCATGGTCTGCAATTCCAATTTCTTTGACAGTAAAGCTGAAGTCCTTCAGGATTAAATAACAGTCAATTATGAAACAAACCATATCTGGATATGTACAGCTTTGTATCTTATATATATTATTACCTTTATCTTTGAGAAAATGAAGTGAGGCAAATGCACTTTACACAACAAACCTATCTGAAAGTTATTTCCCCTGATTATTTATCTGCCTTGGTTAAGGACAAAAATTGCGGCCTGTGCTAAGCACTTTGTGGGAGATGGTGGCACAATCAAAGGAATCGATGAGAACAACACTGTTATTGATTTACATGGGTTACTTAGCGTCCACATGCCAGCGTATATTGACTCCATCAGAAAGGGTGTCTCAACAGTAATGGTATCCTATTCGAGCTGGAATGGTAAGAAGATGCATGCTAACCATGATCTTGTCACTGGATTCCTCAAGGACAAACTCAAGTTCAGGGTAAAAGATATTGTTTTAATGTACTATTGAACGCGTTACTTAAATTGGTCTGTTCAAGATAAGATAATTGCCAATCATAATTTTGTGTTTGTGGCTGTGTTTCAGGGTTTTGTCATATCCGATTGGTTGGGTATTGACAAAATTACCTCCCCACCTCATGCTAACTACTCTTATTCTGTTCAAGCTGGAATTCTTACTGGAATTGACATGGTATACTCAAAATGCATTATGATACAGAGCTTGGTCATTTTATAATGCAAAATTTGTATCATCACATTGTGATTGCACTCGAGACTTTTTGAAAGATAGCGAGTACATATTAGTATTGATTAATTAACCAATAGAGATAGAGAGGGAGAACCAAAAACAATATCGTATTAGCAACTTTTTATACTTTACAGTGGTAGTGAATTTTCTTTAACATAAGTACTCTGGGAATGTTGCAGGTCATGGTCCCACAGGACTTCGTGGAGTTCCTGAATGATCTGACTTTCCAGGCGAAGAATAAGATCATCCCTATGAGCAGAATTGATGACGCTGTGAAGAGGATTTTAAGGGTCAAGTTTATGATGGGTCTATTTGAGAAACCATTGGCTGATCTCAGCTTGGTCAATCAACTAGGGAGCCAGGTCCGTCACCAGTTTTTTAAAGCTAAAATTGATTACCTAACACAACTGTTCTCATTCTGCCTTCTTAAGATGGGCTGAAGTGCCCCCTCACGAGAAATTTATTCCTTGAACAGGAACATAGAGAATTGGCAAGGGAAGCTGTGAGGAAATCACTTGTGCTTCTGAAGAACGGAAAAACTATTGCTAATCCATTACTTCCTCTTCCCAAGAAAGCATCAAAGATACTGGTTGCCGGAAGTCATGCCGATAACTTGGGTTATCAATGTGGAGGATGGACGATTGAATGGCAAGGTCTTGGTGGCAATGACCTTACAATTGGTAGATCTTTGATTTTTGCTGTGTTTATGTGGATGTTTTCGCAATAGTTAAAGATTTTGAAAAGCCAGTTATAATATAACCTGCTCTTACGTTTCTTCTACCTCAAGCTAATATAACACATACAATCCTTGGGTTCCTTATCAAAGTAAGGCATTGACAACTAGAACTTAATGAGACAGATCAGTAACAAACATTCAAAGACAGTTTAAGTTAGCTCTGCCATTTCATGACCAACTGCTAGCAATCAAGTGTTATCCTTATTTTAACGTAATTAGAAAAATAATTCTCCACACACATGACATAGAAGACATTTACAACTCAAGAAGCAGAAATTTTTAAAAAATGATGTATGCTTCACGATAAATTATCAACAAATCAGGCATCTTTTTGTATTGTTGTAATCTAAAGCCTTTAGGAAAGTAATTATGGAGAATTTCACACAATACTTGCACATAAAAATGCTCTCATTTTCCTGTTTTTACAGGTACCACTATCTTAACAGCCATAAACAACAATGTTGACCCTTCTACCCGTGTTGTCTACAATGAGAATCCTGATGTAGAGTTTGTGAAGTCCAACAAATTTTCTTATGCCATTGTCGTCGTGGGTGAGCACGCATATTCAGAGATGTATGGTGATAGCCAGAATCTGACAATAGCTAAACCTGGTGTGAGCACCATCCATAACGTATGTGGAGCTGTTCAATGTGTTGTTATTATTGTCTCTGGTCGTCCTGTTGTGATCGAGCCCCATCTTGCCACAATGGATGCCCTAGTAGCTGCTTGGCTTCCAGGTACTGAAGGTCAAGGTATTGCTGATCTTCTATTTGGCGATTATGGATTTACTGGCAAGCTTGCTCGGACTTGGTTCAAAACTGTTGACCAGCTCCCCATGAATGTTGGTGATCCACATTATGATCCTTTGTTCCCATTTGGATTTGGTCTAATGACCAAACCTTTGAGGGATAATTAGAACTGTCCAAGTTTTTGCCCATATTCTCCTCACTTATTTTATTTTCCATCCATGAAGAGCTTATCTGGTGTAGTTATTTTCACTCTGTATCTGTAAGTACAGGCTTCCTACCGGATTGAAAGCATTAACTGATATGATTCAGTATGAATGCGTTATCTACCTTGGGAAATTTTTGCATCGTGGATAAATCATGTGATCGAGGATGAATGCATTATCCATCTTTTGAAAATTTTGCATCGTGGCTTAATCTTACTATTGTTGGCTATAAGAAGCGGGCGCCATCTACAAATGTTATAAGGTCAGTTTGATGAATGATGCAGAGAAGTTATCACTGAAATAAGGTGACTCTCTGCATCTTTCATACTATCTGCTGAGACATTTAGAGGAAAGGCTGACAAATTCAAGAGGGGCCATTTTATTTTCTGGTAGAAGAATTTAGAAACATGGTTGTTCCAAAATGAGATCTTTTGCTAAAATGGCCTAAATGTATGGTTTCGGGTCTCTTTCATAACAACGATCTTTTCTTTTAGATTTGGAATCAAATGCGATGATTGCAAAAAAGTGTAGTTTATTTTATTTTTTAAGCAAAAGGTATACTAAAAAGATTTCCTGCTTTGAAAACTGTGTGAACAAAGAGTGGGCAAAACAAAAGGGAAGGAGGTCCTTATACGAAGTTACACACTTAATTGAGCAAACTCCCCTGGGGCCGGAAAAATCATAGGCGAAGCTTAGAGGATGATGATTTGAATGGGAATTTTCATTCTTATTTGAGAGTCACTCGTCTCGCCCAAGCAAAGCTTAAATGCAAAGTCTTGAAAGAATTCAGTGCATTGGTATTAGTATGATCGCAATCAAAAGATGCAAGTGTGATTTAAACTAAAGAGTGTCAAGGTTTTTAATTGAAAGAGTGGATTTAAACAATACTTTCAAAAAACAACAGTAATTCGGAAAATAAATCTGATATCGAAATAGCGCTTGACATAAAAATAAAAATAAAAAAAGAAGAAGAAAAATACAATCAACTTCATATTTATTAAGTAATTTGATCACTCATCGAGCTCCAAGGGTTTGAAATACTTCCCATCTAAGAGATAAGTACCTATAGTAAGACGAACTGCCCAGACATCCTTGGGCTTCCTTGACACAATCCTGCAAAAGGTTCCATGGGCCATAAGTGCACAACAAAAGCTGAAGCGACAAAGATGACTATTAAGTAGCATCATCACTGCTTAAACAATTATAAAACAATCATAGAAAAATTAACTGAAGCGACCAATCGTTATTTATTAGCTAATGCTATGATAGCTTATCAAAAATAATACAAATTCTTTAACCTGCTAGATATATAACGTCCTAAACTCGTATTGTACAATATTATCCATTTTTGGTTAAGCCTGCACGACTTAAAAACGAGTGATACAATAAAAGTCTAAAACTCACATTTATGTACTGTTTCACTAGTTGATGTGGGACTAGTTGATGTGGGATTGGGTTATCACAATCTACCTCTTTAAGTCCAAATGTCCTTGTTTGAGATGTTTGGACTTTGCCCCGACCCGGGTGATATGGGCTTCTAGGGATTACTTCCACCATGCTAGCTGCCACTGTACCAAGCCACTGAGGGATGTACAGCCTTAGATAGCCTCCACACCAAAAGGGTCAATGTCTTTGATACCAATTGTAAAGTCTCAAACTCACATTGTACAATACTGTTTGTTTTGGATTGGGCCTTCGTAACTTTAAAATACGTTTTACAATAAAAGTCTAAAGATCACACTTATATACCATTCTATATCCATCTCGCTAGTCGATATGGAATTAGATTATCACAAGATCGTAGTGTACAATTTTCAAAGCATTGTACAATAAAAGAACAAATGTCACATTCATCGAGCTTTGATTTCACACGCACTTTACAAAGTGACATGTGATGGGTTAGAGTCACCACAATCCACCCCGTAAGACCAATGCGGACTGTAGGATGCGTACAAACTTAGTCGACTTGAGATTCCAAAGGATAGTTAGCACCAAGTCAAAGGCCACCAGCCCACTAAAACATGGTGAGCAGACTATGTGTGCAATTGATGAGACTTGAATCCACAATAATGAATTATAACAGATTGATGTTTGCGGTTAGCATAACGACTACCGTTTTTACGGGTGAAATTTAAGGTCGCGAGTTAAAACTTTTGTCGTTTCTCTCACTCCAACAGTGCATGACAGGGTTACTACTTATTTTTCTGTTCCTTTGAAGCTGCCCTGTGCTGTGAGGATGCCTTCACTTCAGGATATGGAGCAGTTGCCTGTGCTCCGGATTAAAAGGGTAATGTTGTTTGATGACAAGGGCTAAGTGGTGATGATGCTGGGTCGTTATAGCGTGAGAGGAGGAGGTGTTGCTGTGAAGAGGCTGTGCATGATTTCTGGTCCTGCATAGCTCCTTGTTATCTGATAAGCTTTGCTGTTGGTGCTGTTTGGTTGCTGAGCTGTGAGTTTGAAGGACCCCTGCTGCATTTCTGTTTATAGTTTGGTGTTTTGAAGGTTTAAAGCCATAGTTTGTGATGTAATTAAAAATAAAAACTATTTTTGTGCTTTCAAAAAAAATAAAAAAAGAATTACAGCAGATTGAATAATGAGTTCATTTCTTGGCTAAAAGTCATTAATCAGAATGCCAAAACATCAGAAGCAAACATATTTAAGCACAGATATAATCCAACTATTGCTGCAAATATAAAGCATTAGAGAGAGAGAGAGAGAGAGAGAGAGAGAGTACCTTCCAACATCACCAGGATTAACTAAGCCAGAATTAGCCCTGAGACATGGAACAGAAGCTGCTGTCTTCAACGTTTTGGGAGCCTCAACAACAATAATGGGAGACCCAATTTCAAGTCTTCTTGACCCTTTTGCACCAACTCCAGCATCTGATGATGACTCTTTTAGATCACACTTGGTGACTACACTCTGGCTTTGGGTGTGAGTACTGTTTGAGTTGTTAAGTTGGAAGATTGAGATGTTGTTTGGCCTTGAACATGGAAGTTTTGGGGTGGAAGAGAGAGAAAAAGCCATGGGGCCAAAGAGTACGCTCACAAGGAAATGAGATTATGATTGTGTGGACCTCAGTTTTCACAACTATGGTGTAATTTTATCAACATTGTTTGTCCTCGAAAATTCTCGCTTTCTCGGGTTCTTTCTAACCCACAGTAAACATATGAAGAGATTTAAGAACGCCTATTTATTTTCTTAGATTATTGTGTCTCTCTAGTGGCCCAATACCTTCCGGACCATTCAACTGATCAACTTGGCCTAGATATCATTTAATTAGTAATAAAAATTATGTCACGTAAAACGGTTTCGTGTATTGAAAAATAGAGGAATTCTAGTAGACTGATTTATTCATACAAGATCCAATTAATTTATTGTATTGAACTCTCTAAACTCTACCAGTTTGTATATGGATGATAGGATACTTCGAATTTGACTTGATATATTCATTGTGTCTACTTCTATGATCCTACTTCTATGATTCACGCGGATAGCTCAATGGTGTGGTATTAAACTAACGATAAATTTGGATATGTGAGTTTTAATTCTTACCGATGATTTTCACATTTAACCAATATTTTTGGTTAACGTTTAATACAATTATCCATGAATATTTGAGTTTTAATGAGCTTTTTTTGAAAACAAGCTTATTAACGGTGCAATTTTACTTTTTAGATATTCTCAAATGTAATATCCCCTTTTTTTTTTTTTGTCATTTTTGCTCTTCAAAGTAAAACGGCACCGTCAATGAGCTTGTTTTCCAAAAATAGTGTCAAATTGATGTTGTATAACTCAGTGTAATCATAATCAGACCAAATCTTTCGATCGAATTGTAAATCGAAACTTAAAACAATTCAATACTTTAATTAGGCTATCTAAAAAATCGAACCATCAAAAAACCAAAAAAATTGGCCGATTTTGACCAAAACCAGTGAACCGAAAATTCTTAAAACAGCCATGTCATTTGAGCTTAAAATTTGATCTCAAAATTTAGCCAAGAGTAACAATACCAGTTATAACCATAGACGAGCAGGACCCGAACACATGTCTGTTTTATAGAACAGTAATGCCTCGTATTTGGAAAAGCAATCAACAAATACCCGTGAGACCCGGACCGGTTTCGGGTTGAATGCCCGGCCCGTTACCAGGCTCCAAAAAAATCTAATCAAGATTCTCTCTCCAAGTGGCAGATATTTGTTTTTTCTTGGTACATTAGACAGCTACAAGTGGCAGATATTAAACGAACAAACAAGCGACCACAAAGCTGAACTCAACAAGTTTCCACTCTCTTTCCATGGCGACACTCTCTCACTCTTCACTCCACCGAATATATTCTCTCTCTACATCTTCATCCCTACCATCTCCATCATATTCATTTCGTTTCTCTCTCTTCTCCATCACCTCTCTTCCCACCCAAATCCCACCAAACCCAAAGGTCCCCATCTTGTCCTTTGCTTCTTCTTCTTCTTCATCTGAACTCCAACTCATCCAACCCACCACTAAGCTTTTACTCCATCCCATTTTGCTCTTCACTGGATTTGACAGACCTTTGGACACCCAGACTTTTATTGTCACTATTAGTGTCTTGGCCGCTATTGCTTTCTCACTGTTTCTTGGACTAAAGGTGATTTCTGTTCGGGTTTTGTTTGTTTCAATGAAAGTAGTTTGTCCAAAATACTTTTTGATAGAATGCTTGCTTCCTGAAATTGGGTGTGCTTTCTATTGAAACAAATAGGGCTTTATTTTTTCGATTGTTGTGAATGAGGGTTGTTTTGTTGTTTGGGATGAAAAATAGTCGTACGATAATATTTTCTGATTAATTGTTTGCTATATGAACTTCGGCGTGCTTTTTATTGAGACAAACAGGGCTTAGTTGTTAGATTGTTGTGAATGAGAATTGTTTTATGGTTTGGGATGAATATTTGGTGGGCTTTTTTGTAGGGTGATCCTGTTCCTTGTGAAAGGTGCGCTGGCAATGGTAATTTCATTTTCTTTCCTTGTTCATACACAAATATGTACTTGGATTTTGGTGGATTTTGGGGTATTTTTGAGGAGTCTGGCGACCGGAAAAGTGCAGCTCTTATATAGACTTTCTTTTTGATAAACGGTGAAAGACGAAATGGGTGTCGGCCAGTTAAGTTTGTTCAGTGTTTATGGTGATCTCTCACTCTTTGTTTGGGTAAAAAATGTATTTCATGCACACATCTCTAGTTTGAAGGACCATGAACGAAATTAGCTTTAGTTTTGCTTTGAACACTTATACATTTGTCATTGTGATGGTGGTAGAACACAGATATTAAATCACAGCAGCGAATACATGGTATTGGTTACCATGGCATCTTCCTTTCAACTCCTAAACCACTAGAAAAAGCCTTTTTTGCCTTTATTTTGGCATGCTATAATATCATGTTTGTTTGCTATTCTGGAGTGCATAAATGCTCAAAATACAATGGCAAATAGTGTGGAGATTTTTTGTTGAAGTTTTCATAAATCTAATATGACACTATTGCTTGAACATTTACCATTGTGATTTCAGCAATTGTGGGATTTAAAAAATCACACCACAAATGTTGAGATCACAAGGGTAGATGGATGAGAATTAATGATGACATATTATATATTTTCAGCACCTTAAAATATTCCATGAAGTTATTTATTATTATGTTAAGGGTGCCACTGTGATTTTAACTTTTGTGGCATTGTGCGCTCATTGGGGTCGCAACCCCCCCAAATGCTAAATTTACAGGATTAGGGTATCTCTAAAACACTTTTAAAGTACCCAAAATAAAGCTTTAGGAAGAACTCTTATAATCTACAAAGGTGATTTAAACATTTGATTGGCAAAATAAGATTGCTCAAAATCTTGAAACTACAATGGTCTATATGGATGAAAATTGAGTAAATGTTAGATTTATGCATCACCAAGTTTGTTATTGTTTTTTTTTTTTTGGTCAAACCAAGTTTGTTGTTACAATTTCATCACTTATGGGTCTAGAGATTCCCACGAATAGTTAAGTATTGAAACTACAGTGGAGAGTTTGAAAAGACCGCGATGAAACAACTATCCAATATAGCTATTGCCGCTTTTACATTAACCTTTGCAATTTTAACGCATGTGGGATTTGACTTGGTCTCACAAATTGGGCGACCACAATGCCAAATGAATGGAGAATGATGGTCATACTACATTTATTTCAAGCCATCCAAGTGTAAATGCATTTGCATTTCATCAGATTTAGGTGATCCTGAAAGCATTGACATAGGTGGATCCAATCAATTTAAGTTTTGTATTTGTAGAATATAATTTGATTTGATTGATCAAGGCCATCTATCTTTGGCGTTTTAGGTGGTGAGGTGTACTTGGTGTCAAGATCAAATAGGAGTGCAATTTTTTCTCATTTGGTGAAGTTTAACAATTCTGTCTTCTTTACTTCGGTTCATAACAATACATCTGGGGCTAAGAATTTAGTGGAGGCCTTGCATTATCGATCGAATTGTCCCAGTTCGAGATGAGATTGCATTTGCCTATGATTGAATGAGATTGGAGCTTGGTGTATAGTTGAAATTGAAAAACAATTAGTTATGATTTAGAAGAAAGAGAAGAAAAGAGAGATAGGGGAATAATGTAATAAGATTTGTATGTTAGGTGTGTACACCTTACCACTTATTTACATTAGTTTTGATGTTCACAATAGGAAAGAACATATTAGGAAGGTAAACAATTGGGAGACTCTAAATAGGAAATCTAACAATTCCAACACATGCCGTCAATCTTGAGCATATAGATAAAAAATGCCTAGCTTAAAATAAAAACTACTAAAGGCGAATCATGCCCATGGTATAGTAAGAGTATCACCAAGTTGGTCATCAATTTTGACTTAAGGAGTGATAATCTCCTTTCTCATGAAGAGATCCTGAATGAAACGACAATCAACTTCGATGTGTTTGGTTCACTCATGAAACACAAGATTATTGGCAAGTAGAAAATGTCATAATGCATCTACATAGAGTACAACATATCAACTCCCATTTTTCAAAGTAGAAAATGAACCCATAAAATCTCACATGCAGTAGAGCCCTGACTCAGTATTCAAGTTCTTTCTTACTGCACCAAGTAACAAGATTATCGCCGCAAATGTACAATAGCCAGAAGTAGAAAATTCAATAACACATAAGGTGGTTGACGGTTGATATAACAATCCTCGACCTAAAGCTCCTTTCAAATATTGAAGAATACAACAAAAAATTTCTCAATGGGGTTTATGAGGAGTATGCATAAACTGACTAACAACACCAACAACATAAGTAATGTCAGAACGTGTCACAGTTAGATAGATAAGTTTTCCAACCAACCGTCAATAATGCCTTGTTTCTTCAAAGACATCTTCCTTGTTAGCATAGTTATCAAATCGTGTATCAGAAGGTGTATTATTTTTTAAAAATAGTGTATTGTATCGTATCGTGTATCGTAAGATACGTGCAATTTTAATTTTTAAATAATTATTAATAAAATATATGTATATACCTTTGTAAAAAAGTCATAAACTCATAATAATATAGTATTTCATTAATATTCCATCAACTATTCAAGTTTTCAACATAGTTCAGTAATATCAAAATGCAAACACCTTTAATTAAAACTTTTAACATCAACTGCTTGAACAACCTTAATATTAATCAGGAATTTGAATTCAATTGAACAACATTAACAACAGACTTTATTTATTTTTTTAAAACTATAATCAATTAAATGACGTTATTTCACTAGCTAGTGATTTAAAAATAAGATTCAGGGTAAAACGATGTCATTTCAACCCAAAAAAAATAAAAAATAAATAAAAAAACAAAATCGTCATGTATCGTACGCATTAGGCGTATTGTATCGTATGGTACGTATTGTATCGTGTATCATATGATACGGTATAAAAAGATACAGAGGTACGATATATATCGTTTTTCATGTGTATCGTGATGTATTGTACGATATGTATCGCGTATCGTACGATACTAATAATTATGTTTGTCAGTATCCAATTTAGCTGTTGAATCTACGGGTGTATCAACTGGGTGTGTACCAGTTTCAGAGAGCAAATCTAACACATACTTCCACGGGGATAAACTAATACCTTCCTCGGATCGGGTTATTTCAATGCCAAGAAAGTATTGAAGGAGGCCTAAGTCTTTAGTGTGGAACTGTCAGCCAAATAGGTTTTAAAAAGAGCAATACTAGCTGAGTCACTATAGCTAAAAATAATATCATTAACGCGGACAACGAGAACAATGACACCTGTGGCAGACTTCCTTGTAAGCATAGAATGATCCAAAGTGGAATGTTGAAAGCCATATTGAAGCATAACATAACCAAACTTATCAAACCAAAGCATGCAGGGATTGTTTTAGGCTATATAATGCAGTTTTTAGCCGACATACCAATTGTTCTTGCCATGGTTGAACTGTATATATCTCTTCTTGTAGATTCCAATGTAAAAAAATTATTTTTGACGTTCATCTAATATAAAGGCCAAGCTAAACTCGCTGCAACAGAAAGTAATGCTCGAATAGAGTAAAGCCGAGTAACAGGAGAAAATGTCTTACAATAGTTCACACCATACGTTTGAGTGTAGTCTTTCGCGACCAGCTGCGCCTTTAAGCGTTCAACAAAACCATCGGGAAGATATTTCACAATATACACCCAACTATAACTAACGTGTTGTTTGCCAGTAGGCAATGGAGTAAGATCCCAATTCTGATTCTCATGACAAGCTTTCATCTCTTCATCTATTTCCATTTCCAATTTTCATCCAGGAGATAATAAGACATGTTTGAAATAGGTAGGAACAGAGATAGAAGATAATGTTGATGAAAAACAACGAAATGATGGGTAAAGTCGATAAAATGAGACAAAATTAAAAAGAGGATGTTGTGTATAGCTACAAGTATTTTTCTGTAATGCAAAAGGAAGATCAGATGATGACACAGGAGTAGATGACTTAGAGGGTTGAACTAATGTTACTTGAATCGTGAGTCAATTTGACTTGTTGTATAGGTATGGGTACACAAAATGACACTGTATGTGGTGCAATAGGGATTGACGTAGCTAGTACGGTATTTTGGGTTATAATTCGTTTTGGAATCCTTTTCTAGATCGCTGTCATTACATTATGAGTGGTGCTATAGGGATAGGCTTAGCTAACACAGTGCGAGAGGATTTTGATCAATTGAACTCTTTTGTAGAAAGGCCTATTATTGCACCAGTGAGGTGGAGTGATGTGATATCTAATGACGGTAATAGAAGAGGTTGAGGCATTTCAAAATTAGTTTTGAATGAGATAGTAGGATATAAAGTTTGCAGTTTAATAGAGAAAATGACCCTCGTTAGAGCATTATGGCAGAACAAAATTCATGTAGCTGATACCAAACAGCTGGTGCAAGGCTTTGTTAGGTGAGTTCAGCATGTAGATTTTTGTAACAGGAGTTTTAAATCAAATTTCTCAGAACTACACCTAAAACATTATTTTTGAAGCATTGCTTATAGTCCACAACTTGTAAAAGACAAATAATTTGATTAGAGTGAATGCTCACAAAGATGAAGAATAAGAGAAGAGAGAGAAGAAAAGAAAAGATAAAAATCATTTGTAGGCTTTTGACTGGTGCTTGTCAATACTGTCGACATGATCCAATCTTTGCATCTTTGGATAGGTCATAATAAAGATTTAGCACCCAAACCTGAAATTTTGTTTTTATAGTCATCTACGGTTATGCTTTGCTATCTGATATGTTCCTTTAGTTCATCTTTTTCCTTTTTCTTGGATGGGAAGATTATGCATTGCTTTGCTTTCAATTAAATAGTGTCTTATCTCACTTTGTTGGTGGCTACTTGAAAAGTACAATTAACATCCCTTGTGTAATTTGTTTGAGTTATTATTTTAAGTACTAGACATAATACCTAAATGCTTCTCTACTATAAATAAGATGGTGTTGGGCAACACAACCTGCACACACATATTATTCCTCTCTGTCTCTCTTTTTCTCCTTTCAATTCCTAGTACAGATGTTACTGTTTAACTGTTAATAAATGAATACACCCTGTGATGTAAAACAAGAAGTCTGGGGGTGCTTGAACGGTAGAAAATGTTGTATGGCCAGTATCTCAGCCATTGTGATAGCAAAATGGGTTACTATACAACAAGCAAGCTTATATCATTTTATTACAGTCTCTCACTGAAAATTAAAAGCTTTTTCTGCTCCTTTTTTTGCCTATGCTGTTATTCATTTGTTGGCCAATATTGCCATTGATGTATACATTCACATATTTTCACCTACCGCAATCGCTTTAACTCGAGCTATCTGTTTATGCTTCTGAAAGTTCTATGATACTTGATTATTATGTTGGGTTCCTTTTTTGGGTGAGTCTAATTTTTTCACTTGGTATTGAACTTGAATCTTCTGGGACTCATCTTTGTCTTTGTCAGTGACCTATGATTTCTCTACTTGGTTTCTGGAAGGAAAAGATCGAGTTGTTAACTTACCTTTTTGTTCATGGATAGGTGGCACGAAATGTGTCTTTTGTAGTGATGGTAAGATGAAGGTTGAAACAGGCTTGGTTGATTGTAAGGTGTGCAAGGGTGCAGGTACTTCTGGATATTCTTTGGACCTTTATGGCAATCATAAGCACCCCATGTTCTTTTCTAAATACAGCTAACCTTCTAATGAGTACATTGGGTAATCAACTTAGGGTTTTCTAAATGTTCCATAGCATTTGAACAATTGCATTGAACCTGATAATTATAATTTCAAATAATTGTTTCCTGTTAAGATTTTTCGATATTTTTATTTATAATGGGGGGTAGTCTAGTCTTTTTGTTGTTGTAGGGTTTTATCCATAGTTGTTAAATTGTATATTGCAAGGCGTATCGTTTTTTAAAAATAGTGTATCGTAAGATATGCGCAATTTTAATTTTTAAATAATTATTAATAAAATATATGTATATACTTTTGTAAAAAAATATAGACTCATAATAACATAACATTTCATTAATATTCCACCAACTAATCAAGTTTCTATCATAGTTTAGTAATATCAAAATACAAAAATCTCTAATTCAAACTTTTAACATCAACTACTTGAACAACCTTAATATTAATTAGGAATTTTGAATTCAATTGAACAACATATTTTATTTATTTATTTATTTTTAAACTATAACCACTGAAATGACGTTGTTTCACTAACTAGTGATTTAAAAATAAGTCATAAGGTAAAACGATGTCATTTCAATCCCAAAAAATAAAAAAACAGAATCATCACGTATCGGGCGTATCGTATCGTGTATCGTACGATACGGTACAAAAATGATACAGATGCACGATATGTATCGTTTTTTGGTATATCGTAACATATCGTACGATACGTATCGCGTATTGTACGATACTAATAACTATGGTTTTATCTATATTGCCTCTTGTACATAGTTTTTATCAATATGGAATATTAAAATGTTGTAGGCAAATATCTTGTCTCTCTTCTTCATCTACATATGTATTTTGTTTCCAAAGTTTGATATAAATTCATGATATCAAAGTCAAACTTTGATTGCTGCTTCTCTTCATCGTGTCTTACCGCCTTTATGAAAGTCAAAACTCTGCATTGTTGCCTGCATGCAATTCTGTTGCTATCCATAATATGCAGTTGATCCACACTCATTGTTTCTACTTTCTAGAGTTAACTACCTATTTGGCCCCTGAACTATATTATTTGTATCAATCAAATCCTTGAATTATGTTTTGTGTCAATTTAGCCTTTGAATTATGCAATCTCGCTCAATGTCGCCCTCCAAATTCGCTGTTAACTTTGACGGAAATCTTCATGTGCACATCAAGTGAGTTAAAGATTTGGTTATAGTTTAGGGGCCACGTGATGTGCACGGGAAGGTTTCCGTCAAAGTTAACGGCGAATTTGGACTGAAGGACCATATTGAGTCAGATTCTATAGTTCTAGGGCTAAATTGACATAAAATATAGTTCAAGCGCTTGATTGACACAAGTGGTATAGTTCAAGGGTTAAATAGGTAGTTAACTCTTGTTTCTATCTTAGTTTATGTTCATCACTGACTACCATCGTTTTGTTGTCGCGTCTTGGCTTCCCGTGATCCATGATCATTGTTGCTACATTCCTCATTGTCATCTTAGATTTCCAAATGGTTCTAATTTGTAGTTCACGAGAATGGGAAGTTTAAGGCTTCAAACCATTTGGTGCTAGGTTTGAACTGATCCTTAGTATTTGTCACCTCTTTTAGGTTGGGACACAAAATCTACTATCAGCATTTTCAGCTATTAGTAGTTTGTGGGAATGTAAAATGGTATCAGGGATGGAAGGTGTTGAGTCAGGTATGACTATATAAAATGTTATCAGGGACATAAGGTGTAGAGTTGGATTCGACTTGGCTGAGTCATATCGG